CTCTTCTCTTCTCTTCTCTCTCTCCCTCCTTCTCTCCTCTCCTCTCCTCTCTCCCTCCTTCTCTTCTCTTCTCTTCTCTTCTCTCTCTCCCTCCTTCTCTTCTCTTCTCTTCTCTTCTCTCCTCTCCTCTCCTTTCTTCTCTTCTCTCCTCTCCTCTCTCTCCCTCCCTCCCTTCTTCTCTTCTCTTCTCTTTTCTTTCCTCTCCTCTCCTCTCCTCTCTCCCCCTCCTTCTCTTCTCTTCTCTTCTCTTCTCTTCTCTTCTCTTCTCTCTCTCCCTCCTTCTCTTCTCTCTCTCCCTCCTTCTCTTCTCTTCTCTTCTCTTCTCTTCTCTTCTCTTCTCTCTCTCCCTCCTTCTCTCTCTCCCTCCTTCTCTTCTCTTCTCTTCTTTTCTCTTCTCTCCTCTCCTCTTCTCTTCTCTCCTCTTTTTCTTTTTCTTTTTCTTTCTCTACAGGCTCTGGCATCCCAGAAATGAAAACTATCCTGCGTGGAGTGGTGCTGAAGGAATACCTTACCCTCAAGACCTTCGTGGCCAAAGTCATTGGACTGACCTGTGCCTTAGGCAGCGGGATGCCTTTGGGGAAAGAGGTGAGGGGGGATCTGGGGTCCGTGGGCTACCAAGATGGAGAAACAGCTAGAAACCAAGTTCTGGCTGGAATAGTGAAAAAACACAACTGTCTTTGGTTTCCAGGAGGGTAGCTTGAGAGAAGATGTGATACAGGCAATCCTTGTCTTATGACCAATCAATTAACAACTGTTTGAAGTCTCAGTGGATTCCCCCCCCCCCCGAAAGATACTCATGTCCTGGTTCCCAAGTTCTGACATCCCCTCCCCTGTGCGGTGTCACGTGATTGTATTTTGGGCACTTGGCATTTACGGCTGTTTGCAGCGGCTCTGTGGTCCTGTGATCATGATTTACGATGTTTTTGACAGAAACCTGCTTTTACTTCCAGTTCCTTGCAAAAAGTGGCTCAGAGTGTACAATGGCTTCATTAAATAATTGCCACATCCAGTTAATAGCTGCTGCGAAAGTCAGGTTTAGTCATATGATGATCTGCTTTACAACTATCATAGCAACAGCCATAGCACTTAGACTTATATACCGCTTCCCAGTGCTTTACAGCCCTCTCTAAGCGGTCTACAGAGTCAGCGTATTTGCCCCCAACAATCTGGGTCCTCATTTTACCGACCTCGGAAGGATGGAGGGCTAAGTCAACCTCGGAAGGATGGAGGGCTGAGTCAAGCTTGAGCAGGTCAGGATCAAACTGCTGTCAGTCGGCAGAATTAGCCTGCAATACTGCATTCTAACCACTGTGCCACCACACCCATCATGGCTTATAACCATAATTGTGGGACTCCAGTTATGATCATAACTTGAAAACAATCTCTACCTGTCTTCAAGTTTCTGAAACTTGAGACTTCTCCTCACTTGCTCCAGAGGGTAAGAATTCAAGCTGAAAGGATGAAACTTCAAGGATGTAGATAAAAATTAGAAATTGAGAAGAATGTCTTGACAGGAAGAGCTGCCAGTCAGTGAATAGGCCAGTGATGGCGAAGCTTTTAGAGACCGAGTGCCCAAACTGCAACCCAAAACCCACTTATGCATCGTCGGGGGCTGGGTGGGCGTGGCCCATTGGGTGGGCGTGGCCCATTGGGTGGGCGTGGCTGCGGTGGTAACAGCAGACGGGGTGGGACTAAAAAGTTCAATCAATCAATTCCAACTTTGCGAGATCTTTTTTTCCCCGCGAGAAGTTGAAATTGATTGATTGAACCTTTTTTTTTTTTTTTTTTGCACACGGCGGCGGAGGCCTAAAGCAGAAAGGTTTTATAAAACCCTGCTGAAGGCCTAGGACTGGGGCGACGGCACGCGTGCCCACAGAGAGGGCTCTGAGTGCCGCCTCTGGCACCCGTGCCATAGGTTCGCCACCATGGGAATAGGCTCTTCTTGAAGTGGTTTCTGCCCTTCATTGAAGCCATCTGTCAGGGATAGTGTGCAGGTAGTCCTCGACTTAAAACCATTCGTTTAGTGACTATTCAGAGTTGCAACGCCACTGGAAAAAAGTGACTTATGACCGTCTTTCACACTTGTGACCACTGCAGCATGTGATCAAAATTCAGGTCCTTGGCAATTGTCTCGTATTTACCATGGTTGCAGTGTTCTGGGATCATGTGATCCCCTTTTGAGACCTTCTGACAAGCAAGGTCAATGGGGAAGCCAGATTCACTTAACAACCATGTTACTCACTTAACAGCTGCAGTGATTCATTTAACAACTGTGGCGAGAAAGGTCCTAAAATGGGGGCAAAACTCACTTAAGAGCTGTTCTTGCTTAGCAATGGAAATTTGGGGTTTGGTTGTGGTCATAGGTCAAGGACTACCTGTAGTGAACCCTGCAGAAGGTTGGACATGATGATCTCTGGGGTCCCTTCCAACTCTTCCCAAGGCTGGTTAATCCAGCTGCCTGATCAGCCTCCATAACTGGGCACATAGTTCATTGATTGAGATGGGCAGCTATAGAAACTGAATAAATACATAAAAATAATAACCTGGAGAGTGTTTGGGCCCTAGCAACAATCTGCTGATCTTGCTAATCTCTTCTTCCTCCCTTTCCTGTGTGCAGGGACCCTTTGTCCACATAGCCAGCATGTGTGCAGCCCTCCTCAGCAAGTTCCTTTCCGTCTTTGGAGGCATTTACGAGGTGAGTATTTACCTCTGAGGCTGCAAGGTAAGAACAGTAGAAACTTACAGTAGTAACTGTGAGAGGGACCTCGGAGTCCTAGTGGACAGTCACTTAAATAGGAGCCAGCCGTGTGCTGCAGCTGCCAAAAAGGCCAACACAGTGTTAGGCTGCATTAACAGAGGGAGAGAATCAAGATCACGTGAAGTTTTAATACCACTTTACAATGCCTTGGTAAGGCCACACTTGGAATACTGCATCCAGTTTTGGTCACCACGATGTAAAAAAGATGTTGAGACTCTAGAAAGAGTACAGAGAAGAGCAACAAAGATGATTAGGGGACTGGAGGCTAAAACATATAAGGAACGGTTCCTGGAATTGGGTATGTCTCGTTTAATGAAGAGAAGGACGAGGGGGGACATGATAGCAGTGTTCCAATATCTTAGGGGCTGCCACAAAGAAGAGGAAATCAAGCTATTCTCCAAAGCCCCTAAAGGCAGGACAAGAAGCAACGGATGGAAACTAACCAAAGAGAGAAGCAACCTAGAACGAAGGAGAAACTTCCTGACAGTTAGAACAATTAACCAGTGGAACAACCTGCCTCCAGAAGCTGTGAATGCTCCAACACTGGAAGTTTTTAAGAAGAAACTGGACAGCCATTTGTCCGAAATGGTATAGGGTTACCTGCCTGATCAGGGGGTTGGACTTGATGACCTCCAAGGTCCCTTCCAACTTTATTATTATTGTTATTATTATTATTATTATTATTAATAATAATAATAATAATAATAATAATAATAATAATAATAATAATAATAATATGGGCTCTGACAATGGAAGAACGAGATGACTGGAAAACCCCAAACTGTTGGTTAATCAAGGACCCTTGGTGTAATCTGAGCTTGGTTGTGTTCTTGCAGACGTCTCATTACCAAGCTAGGTAACATCATCAGTGCATTCTGGCCAGCCACTCACACGACCCAATTCTGAATAGGCCCGATAGTGGGCCACAGCTCACAGTTGGAGACCCCTGCCCTAGCCTCAGTCCTAGGATTTGTAGTTTGGGGATAATAACCCTGAAATTATAAAAATCCATCAAACAAACAAAAAACTAAATCCAGACCTACTTTATGGTGACAGCCCCAAAATCCTACAGGTACTCTTGAACTCTTAGGAAAATGCTGTTGTGGACTTGTTGCTGTTGCATTGTTCCTGTTACCCTATTATAATTAGATTCATGACTTCATTCTCGACATCTCTTGCCCACCAGCTAGCGTTACATCGTGCCCCAAAGCCAGGGTGTCTGAGAACAATGGGGATTGTAGTCCAAGCTATTTAGGAGGTCTGTTTTTAGCACTTAATGGATAAAAATATATGTTGAAAGCTGAGAAAGGCCAGGAGAGACGGGAAGTAAGAGCTGAAGGAGGATTCCTAATGTGGGATGGTTTATTTGTGGTCTGCGTATCAACTTAACCCTCCGTGACATTGACAGAAAAAGAGAGGGCCGTGAGAAAACAGCCTTTCTTGTGGTGTTAATTAATTTGTTTATTGAATTTAAAAACTGCCCATCTCCCTTACAGATGCTTTTTCTTTCACTGAAGTCACTTTTATGATTTCAATCTCAGTGGCTGTTCTCTGGGCACATAGCAGTCTCTCTCTCTCTCTCTCTCTTGCAGAATGAATCCCGCAATATTGAGATGTTGGCGGCTGCTTGCGCGGTGGGCGTTGGGTGCTGCTTCGCTGCTCCCATTGGCGGTAAGGCTTCCTTCCGGAACTTTCCCTGACTCGTCCCTGTCTCTGCTCCAAAACTCTCCTTTCCTGCCTCCTCTGTCCCAGAATGGGCTTTTCTGTGAATTTTGCCAGTATGGCTGAACCCACTATATGAATCGGGATGTTAATTTCCATTCCTGATGATTTCCCCAAACAGGTTAGGGAACTGACAGAAAGTTGAGCTGTTTCTAATTTGCAAAATCAGAATCTGGAGAAATGGTCATTATAGGACCATGGATATTTTGCTCTGGGAGGAGGGAGTTTCTCTGGATTGTTCAGACAACAGAATTGGATTTTCCCCTGGAGATGTATTCAACCCAGCTAGTTCAAAATGCGGCCGCGCGGGCGGTGTTGGGAGGGACTCGTCGCTCCCACGTCACGCCGCTTCTGCGCGAGCTGCATTGGCTGCCGGTGGCCTTCCGGGTGCGCTTCAAGGTGCTGATTATTATCTTTAAAGCGCTCCATGGCATCGGACCTGGTTACCTTCGAGACCGCCTCCTGCCACAGATTACCCCC